GTCATTATAATGATAATGGAGTAGGTTTGGAACTATTCCGTTAGATGGCTTCAACGTGCAACTGCATATTCAGTACTTGTCATTACAATGATAATGGAGTAGGTTTGGAACTATTCCGTTAGATGGCTTCAACGTGCAACTGCATATTCAGTACTTGTCATTACAATGATAATGGAGTAGGTTTGGAACTATTCCGTTAGATGGCTTCAACGTGCAACTGCATATTACAAATGTTGTCTTCATCAAGCTTTACAACGAGGTAAAAGGCAAAATATGAGTAGTATACAATATCCCAACCGACAGAAGATTTAAAGAAACAAAGAACAAAATTATGTGTGCAAAAAACGAGCTGATAAAACGATAGGATCAGTGTTTATTTTTCTACGAAGGAAGGTAGATCGTGATAGATCAGAAAGCGCTTTGACATTGCGAACTGTGTATGATAATGTATTAAGTAATTTAACCGTGTTATTTTAAAATGCCCAATTTCATACTCTAGGCAAGAACTGGCACGAGAACAAGCAACATCTCAACTTTGGCCAGCAATCAGGTCCAAAAGACTGACCATTCGTAATTTTGATGAAATAGTGAGGTTAGCCTAAGTTACAAAAAAGGTGTGAACAGCATGGTCGAATGTATGAAGGTGTGGCATTAGACAAATATGAAACTTATTTTGCTGGAGTAAAAACAAAGAAGAGTCGAATTTTTGTTTTTACAATGTACTCGTATTTAGTTGAATTGTTGTTTTTACAGTGTAACCGTATTTTCCTGATTTTTTTTACAATGTATCAGTATTTAGTTAAATTTCTGTTTTTACAATGTACCCGTTTTTGTTGATTTTTTTAACAATGTATCTGTATTTAGTTCCCACATCTGACCAGATCATTGATGACAACGCTGGTGTTAGTGTTTTTTTGTTTTAGAGCAAAGCCACATTGGGTTATTTGCTGTGTCCACCGCGGAGAATCGAACCTCTAATTTTAGAGGTCCGTAAACTTACCACTGTCCCACCGGATGATTACTGTAAGTGAAATGTCCTTACAGTGCGCCCCCCCCCAGTGGCACAGCGGTATGTCTGCGGACTTACAACGCTAGAAACCGGGTTTCGATACCCGTGGTGAGCAGAGCACAGATAGTCCATTGTGTAGCTTTGTGCTTAAGAAAATAAATAAACAAACCTTACAGTGCAAGGAATGATGATATCACAAATTTTTTTGTAAGCTATCTTAAATTAGATGAGCATGTCATGTCGCAACTAGATCAAAACCGTCAGTACCACTTCCAAATTGAAGGGCAACTTTTGTGCTCCAAAAATTAAAAACTACATCTATTGAAAGAAATGATGAATTTGTGCTATGGTAATAAAACAAGGCCCACTTCCATAAAGACTATTTTAGATCTGCTGTTCTACAGGAGCACTTGAACAAAAGACTGATGAACAGTAACATATGTAATTGTAAAAAACGCCCATATAAATTGTAAAACACAAAATGTGAAACCGCCAATTTGTATGTATCTCTCCATGGATCCAATGAACCTCCATACCAAATTTGGTGAAGATCCATCTACAGGTGGTGAGGTAGGGATAAAAAATGCCCATAAAAACCACAAACACAAAACTGAAAATTTGTATGTACCCAATGAACCTCCATACTCATTTTGGTGAGGATCCATCCACACACTGCAAAGTAGTTATATGGACATACAACATTCAACAGACAGTACTATTACACAGATATAACGTACAGTTCACAAAGACAAAGCCCCGGCATGACCAGGTAGTTAGGGTGCTCGACTCGCAATCTGTGAGTCGTGGGTTCAAATCCCTGTCACACCAAACATGCTTGCCTATTCAGCCGTGGGAGTGTTATAATGTGACGGTCAATCCCATTATTCTTTGGTAAAAAGAGTAGCCCAAGATTTGGCGGTGGATGGTATTGACTAGCTGCCTTCCCTCTAGTCTTTCACTCCTAAATTAGGGACGGCTAGCGCAGATAGCCCTCGTGTAGCTTTGCGCGAAATTAGAAAACAAAATTAACACGTTATATCTAAATATGAATACTTTAACGCCGTACAATCTTACGTAACATTATAGTTTTACTATTAACATTTAAACATTATAGTTTTACTATTAACATTTAAACATTATAGTTTTACTATTAACATTTAAACATTATAGTTTTACTATTAACATTTAAACATTATAGTTTTACTATTAACATTTAAACATTATAGTATCTTACAATTAACATTTAAACATTATAGTTTTACTGTTAACATTTAAACATTATAGTATCTTACAATTAACATTTAAACATTATAGTTTTGCTATTAACATTTAAACATTATAGTTTTACTATTAACATTTAAACATTATAGTATCTTACAATTAACATTTAAACATTATAGTTTTGCTATTAACATTTAAACATTATAGTTTTACTATTAACATTTAAACATTATAGTATCTTACAATAAACATTTCAAGACTATAAGAGTCTCACCATTATTACCTGAACACCATAATATTTTATTAATAATAATTCTATTATTGTAATATCTTACAACGAGCAAGTTAACACTGTAGTATCTTTCATTGGATATTTTTGCCTTTTAGATTTATTATCGTATTACATGATATTCGTTAGATTTTTTTCCTTAACATAATATTTCGTATTTTTAGCCGCGACATAACGGGTGATAGAATGGCTCCGAGTTTTTTGGGTTTTTTTCAAGTGCAAACTTTTAGCTCATGGCTCCATCTATACCGATTTGAGATCTAATTACAGCCGCGGCTAGTTGAGGATTCCCCCTTATTTATATTTATAGCAAAGGTACCAAGGCTAATTGTCGTCCTCCCTTATTTTGAACTACTGACTAGAGGGAAGACAGCCAATAAGCAGCACTCTACCACCCACCATCTATGCTAAAGAAGTGACTGTTACTCTTATAACGCATGCACAACTTAAAGCGCGGAAAATATTTTATGGTATCGCCCGAATTTGAACCCGGTTCGACAGCTCCGAAATTCAGAATTTTACGTAAGATCTTCCAAATGTTGCCGAGTAAAAAAAAAATATTACCAAACTTTTATAAAAAAAATCATGTTATACAACTTCAATCCTTTTTCTTTTTTTTTGTAATATTTTGTTTTCCGATAACGCTGAATAACGTTACTTAGCCACTCGAGCTGATTTATTTCTTTTAGGCCTATACTTGTAGAATTTTGTTTAAATATGCAAAGCTGCACAATGAAATATCTGTACTGTGCAACGAGTCCTGCAACGTGGCGTTATAAGCCCTCAAGCTTACTGTTGAGCCACCGAAATTTCTAGAAAACTTTTACTTTAGCAGGCCTGTACCTGTCTTACTTCAAGCTCTTTATACTTAGGAAAACTTTAAGATATTGCACAGTTCTCCAAACATCGCACTGCATTCCATTCCATTCAAAATTTTAACGTGAAATTAATTAAATATTGTCGCTATTCAAATAATTTGTTTTCTAGACGTCAGAAGAGACTAGAGCAAGTTTGTGATTGTAGTGAATTGAAATCCCTTTGTTGGTTTACCTGATTTACATTTTCACATGAGATTTATAGAAACAGTTGAATACATTCAGCATGACATCACCAGTGGTTTGTGTTTTTGAAAACATCCCTTTCCAGTTCAGTTAAAGAAATTCGAGCTATCGCTCCTTTATGTTTCACCTATCAGTAAATAAACTTGTTTCTGTATTTGTTGTTAAACGCAAATGCACACTATGGGCTATCTGTGCTGTGCTCATCACAGATATATTTTAGTGTTATAAGCCTTCAGAGTTACTGCTGAGCCAGTGGGGAGCAACAGGAAGGAAGTTTTCTTTCGTTTATTGTTAAACACAAAGTTATAAATTGGGCTATCTGTGCTGTGCCTATCACGGATGTCAAAACTCTTTTTTTTCGAGTTTTCAGGCTTACTGCTGAGCCATTGGGGAGCAAACGAAAAAGAACCATTTTTTTTTTCTCACAAAAAAAAAGTCATCTCTTGTCAGTCGTGATTGAATTAGTTTGTTTTAAAACGAGAAAGTTGTAGTTATTGCAGAGAATTGTTTATCAGGTTCATTAGTATTACAGTAATGACTCAATACAAAAGTCAATCAAACACATTTTATTGGTGTTAACAAAAACCAGTTTATTAACCACAGATTATCTGAAAATAATCTTAATTAATTATACAGACGTAGATAAAATACTAAGAAATAGTAACTAAAGCATTCTACAGACTTTTAACACAAACTCCTGTTCTCAAACACTGAATTATAATTATAACTAATTAGTTAATAATGAAAAACTTCAAACTGAGTTATTTTTATAATGCTGGTTAGTTAAGTAATGCAAATCTGTATACTATCATTGAATAAAAAGACCAATTAAAATGATGAAATAAAACCATTTTTCCACACAAAAAAAAAAGACAAAAACAAAATGAAGCAATAGAAAATATTCATATGGTGATGAAGCATTTATAGCTTGGTAGGTCAACGAGATGACCATACTGCAAACTCTCCAAAGACATCTTAATTTGAACGATAGATGTTGTCTGCAGAATTGACCCCCAGAATGGTGTCTCCACTAGCATCACATTGCTTCAGTCTTCCGTTTATCTTCAACCATTGACCATAGCAAGGCTTAGGGCAACGGTAAATCTCGTCATTACTATTTACCCCGAAAACTTCCCAACTGCCGGACCCGGTGACGTGCTTTAGGCTTCCCGGAATCCTTTCCCAGGTACCGCTTCCGTCTACTGGGCGACGAAAGATTGCGTTGGCGCTGTTGACCCCATAGACCAGATCAAGACCACCATCTACCTGTTTCAAACGTCCACTCACTTGGCTCCACTCTCCATTACAAGGCTTAGGACATTTGTAAATTAAGTCATTCGAGTTAACACCCCAGATGTAGCCGTAACCTGAAGCGCTGACATGTTTCAGCTTACCTCTGACACGAACCCAAGTTCCGCTCCCATCTACCGGTCGCTTGTAGATATCATCGTTTCGATTCACTCCCCAAACCTCATGGTCATCAGCGTCGACCTGCTTCAACGATCCGGGTACCAGAGTCCACTTGCTGTGGGAGCAAGGTTGTTCACAGAAGTAGATTTGATGGTTACGGTTGACTCCCCACATAAACCTGGGTGAGGCTGAGATGTGTATAAGTTTACCAGAAATTTGACTCCATTGTGCCGCACTCGGAGATGCAGCTACCAAGCTCAGAATCAGCACTAAGATAACTCTCTGAGTCATTTTGGCGTCAAATGATGCGACTGTGTTGTGTCATCCAGAAAGAAATCTTTTATTACCAAGCATGGCCACTCCCAACATCTGTGACGTTTAATAAACCGGAAATATAACATCACTTACCATTGGCTCTCAAAATGATGATGATTCTATTCCAGTTGACCTCTAATCAATACATTTCAACAGAATGAAGGTCAACAAAACCTACAACCTAATGAGCACACACAAATAAAATACGCTAATTTCTGAACTGAGATTGTGTAGTGAAGATACAGCATTGTATTTATTTAAAGTGCCTGTATAGTCTGTATACATACATTACAACACTAGATAAAAAAAATGTTTGTAATTTACTATACTATGTTTTTCTATAATTTTATTTTACATTATCTGAAAAGCTAGTAAAGTTATTTACCATATATACACTAGGCCTAGAAAGAAAGACAAGTTTTCATCTAAATATTAAATGTTAGACTCGTTTTATGAAAATGGTCACATTGAAACTGAGTTTTCTATATTTATACATTACAGTTGGGTCTAAATTTACATGACGAAAACCCATGTTTGTATTTTGTTTAATAATTCTCATCTTTAAAAAGAACAGAGCACATAAAGATGTTTTTCAACTTGTCTCATTGTTGATTAACCGTAACCGTTGTTTCATTCATGAGTAAATTCAATCATTGTTTCGTTGGTTGATTAGCTGTAATCAATGTTTCAATGCTGATTAACAGTGCCATTGTTTCATAATTTATTGTTTGTTTTGAAGTTAAGCACAAAGCTACACAATGGGCTATCTGTGCTCTGCCCACCACGGGTATCGAAACTCGGTTTCTAGTGTTATAAGTCCGCAGACATACCGCCGTGCCAGTGGGGGGCCCATAATTTATTAACTATAGTCGTTGCTTCATTGTTGATTAACTCTAATAATTGTTTCATTATTGACTAACTTCAATCATTCTTTCATTGGTTGGTTAACTGTAATAATTGTTTCATTATTGACTAACTTCAAACATTCTTTCATTGGTTGGTTAACTGTAATCATTGTTTCATTATTGACTAACTTCAAACATTCTTTCATTGGTTGGTTAACTGTAATCATTGTTTCATTATTGACTAACTTCAAACATTCTTTCGTTGGTTGGTTAACTGTAATCATTGTTTCATTATTGACTAACTTCAATCATTCTTTCATTGGTTCGTTAACTGTAATAATTGTTTCATTATTGACTAACTTCAAACATTCTTTCATTGGTTGGTTAACTGTAATCATTGTTTCATTATTGACTAACTTCAATCATTCTTTCATTGGTTGGTTAACTGTAATCATTGTTTCATTATTGACTAACTTCAATCATTCTTTCATTGGTTGGTTAACTGTAATCATTGTTTCATTATTGACTAACTTTTTGTAGTGGATCTACGGTACGCCACCTAGTGGTTCGAATCAAATAACATCTCAAGACGAATGACGAAAATCATTCTAAAGTCTATAAAAATGGAGTAACAAATTGTTAGGGTAAAAAGAATTCGAATCATAATATCAAAGTTTTGTAAGAAGCTCGTTTGCTCTCGCTTCTCGGCCAATCAAAGATAAACCAAAAATACATATATATTTTGTATTTCTTTGTTTGTTGCTAAGCGCAAATCTACACAATGGAATATTTGTATTTTGCCTATCACGGGTATCGAAACCCGGTTTTAAGCGTTATAAGACTACAGACGTTCCGCTGTGCCATTGAGAGTCGTATTTCATGTAACTTACTAAATTTAATCAAGGTTTAAATGTTTATTGAAAAAGTTTGTTTGTATGTCTATGTATAGATAGGTAAAAGTTAGTTGTTATATCATCTTCTATCGGACCACATTCGCTCTGTGAGTGACATCACCTAGACATCTGTCTGATTATTCACATGTAAGTGGTCAACATTTGCTAGAAAGTGGTCAGTATCAACTGTCCAGAGTAGTGACTTGGCAGCCAGGTACACTGCGAGATTAACAAGTGCCATGGCCGCTTCTATATCACTTAAGAAACCTACCCTAAGTTTATTATGTACTTTTATCGGCACATACTTAGCTGGTGTCACCATAAGTTGACTGTCCTCCCTTTGGCTTGGCGCTATTAGATCTTTGGAGATAGAGACGTAGTAGCCATACCTTGCCTACAACCTCTGTATGTCTGATGAGCATTTAGGAAGAACTGAAAGTTTTTCCTATCATCCTTATATTGGCAGTTCACTGAATGTTGAGCAACTAGTCTATTATCAAAGTAGACGATTTAGCCCTTCTTTCCAGAGTAACATCTAGATGGAGGGATTAGCAGCATTTGACGTAACACAACTATCATGGAAGGCCCTAAGAAGTATTGTCTACGAACTGGTGTCCAGAGTAGTTGTATTGAGGTGTCAAGGTATTTTTGGTTGTGTAATGCTCAACAGAAGACAACATTTCCACGGCGAATGTACCCCGAGAGGGTGGTCTAAGGTACAACCACATCAGATGGCATTCTGAGCTTCTTCTTTGTCTGTGCTCTTGAATTCCATGGAGAGATATATCTCATTTACCCAAGAGAGACCTGTGATTGCAAGAATCAGGAGCTTATAAGCCAACACCAAAGAGATACATCGTAGATATTAGGGGCATGGGTTTTGTGTGTGTTCAAGGAATCCTAAATCTGAATGAATGTTAGGCCTCTGCTTCTGGACTACAGAGTAACAAGTTACCGAAGCTAGCTTCTCTTTGGGATCTATTCAGACCCACGAATTTCCACAGCACATGGTGGCAATGGCAGCTTTCATGTGGTGTCTCATGACAAGAGTGTATAAACTACACCATTCAATAACCACTTGATAATTATACAGTTATGATAGCTTTTGTTAGATATCTTACCTAGTACACCAACAGCTTGTATGACTGGAGAAGAAAATTAAGAGTTCAAAAACATGCATAAGTAGAAGGGTCAACACAACCCTTACCTTCTGAGATAACAATTGATTTGCTGGAGTGAGACTGTATAGGATGTATTTCAATAATTGCTCACACTGTCTAGTTGAGTAATCATGAGACAAATGTCTAGGATGGCTGGTATGGTAAGGAATTAAACCTAGAACACTTACAGTTAGTAGGACTGGAAAAGATTGCTAAAATTTGTAATACATCTTAAAGTAGAAAGGACTTAACAATCCTCATTTTCTTCGGGTATAACTTTGTGGTTGCTTTGGCAGAATGTTTATGTAAGAGACCACCTGTGATTACTTGTGTATGAAGTTGAAGCCCTTTTTTAACCACATGGGTTTTATTGATATCTCCTGTATTTTTTCTACTCACAATATAAATTTTTAGCTGAACAGCATGGATCTCAATGTAAATTTTGTAAATTGTATTTACTTTCTGCTTACATAAAAAGCGAGTCTTTTGAATCAATATTTCTATCGTTTTTGAGGTTTTTAGGATTCCAAAATTTTCTTGTGGGACACGGTTTTAATTTTAGAATTTAACTGCTCTTATTCTTGGTCAAAATATTTCATTGCTTATAAATCTAGTCAGTTTCAGTTTGTTTAATTATTTTTAATATATATATATATATATATATATATGCATTGATACTATACTTTTTGCCCCCAGTAGCAAAGTGGGGTGTCTGCGGACTTACAATGCTAGAAACCGGATTGTGTTATCATATGCTTTTCTGTTTTGTATTATCATATTGTACCTTATTAAAGGATTATGCTTATTTGTTTTGTGTTATAATATCGTACCTTATTAAAGGATTATGCTTATTTGTTTTGTGAGATCAAACAAGGTGACTGCATTAATTCTGAGCTGGTTAAGAAAAAATTGGGAAGTGTAAAAAACGATAAGTCTCATGGGCCAGATAATATCTCCCCAAGTGTTTTGAAGGAGGTTAAAGGTTGGACATGTGTGAGCCCCTCACTACTATTTTTTGTCAGTCCTTGAACAGAAGATTGGATTTTTGCTAATGTAACTCCTCTTTTGAAGGGAGGTGAAAAAATTGTCCCAGTAATTATAGACCCATTAGTCTTACATCAGTTGTGGGAAAAGGTTTGGAAAGTCTGTTAAAAGATGCTTTGCAATGTCATTTAACAAATTTTAGAATTTTATTGGATAGTCAACATGGTTTCACTAATGGAAAAACTTGCCTTACAAATCTTTCGACATTCTTTGAAATGGTTACTGCTTATGTAGATGAGGGTAAGGGTGTAGGTTTGATGTATCTGGATTTTCAGAAAGCACTTGACAAAGTGCCAAATAAAAGGTTTGTAAAAAATAGTTTTATAAGTGTGAGGGATAAGTTAACAAATTGGATAGAAGAGTGGCTGGATGGAAGAAAGCACAGGGTTGTTACAAATGTCTTAGAATATTTTCTCTTTTTTTTATTTACATCAATGGTATAGATGAAGGGATAGTCAATAAATTACTTAAATTTGCAGATGATATCTAGGTCTTGGGTGTTGCTATCTGTGAAGAGGATGCAACTGATTTACAAAATAATTTAGTGAGTTGGGCAATTAAATGGCAGGTGGGCGTTAATTATAATAAATGCAAGATAATGCATGTGGGTTATCATAATTTGAATTATAAGTATAATTTGGATGTGAATAACCTTAATAGTGTTATGAAGGAAAGGGATCTTGGTGTAATAGTCGATCAGTCTCTAAAGCCATCCAAGCAGTGTGCTATTGCTAGTGGTAGGGCAAATAGCATTTTAGGTTGTATCTATAGAAATATTGAAAACAAGTCTAAAGAGGTTATACTTTAATTGTACAGGTCACTGGTTAGGCCACATTTGGAATATTGTGTTCAGTCTTGGGCTCCTTACCTTAGGAAACACATTGAATTGTTGGAAAGGATTGAACAAGGGGTTACTAGAATGGTGCCTGGGATAGAAGGGTGTCATACGAAGAGAGACTGAAATCTCTCATATTGTTGTCTCTTGAAAAACAAAGATTTAGGGGTATCTGATTCATGTGTTTAAGATTGCAAAGGGAACTGAAAGTGTTGATGCATCATGTTTTTATATT